ATCAGGTAGAGAAATCTGTAGAAAGTAAAAAACAGAATGCACAGTGTGCATAATTATGTTGTATCTGTTATAAGTTATATACCAATGGGAGTTCTATACTACCCAATTTTTAGGGTGAAGCCTTTAACAGGTGAGAATATTATGCATTGCTACATACCAAGGCAGTGATACAGCAACTATTAGTTACATCACTAAACTTGTTAGTGACATATTATTTTTTTGTATTATTAATTTTATTGTTTTGCTATCTCAGTTAGGTATTATTTTAGTGCAACAATTCTAAAGCTGGAAGCAAGATAAATTCAATAATTTCACAATCACAAATATTCACAGCAACAACAATAATTATATTGTAAATACCTTTATCCAATTGTACTTGTTTGTGTCTAATAATAAACATTCATTCACTAGTTTATTATCACTATCTGTTCCTCCAATCACTACTAGTATAGGTGAGGTAGAGACACCATTGATAATAGTACTAGCATGAGAGCCTCTTGCTTTAGGCCACAGTCCATCATTAAGTATTGATCCTTGTTTAAGATGCTCCCAGCTCTAGAAACAGAAAAGTGTTATTATTCATAATAATTTTAAATGTGGATATGGTTTAGAGTTAAATGTAGATTCCTTAATTCTTTTAGTGCAGTAGACTGCACTGTACGAAACTTACTAATACAATGCATAACTTACTACTGTATTATGTGATAATTGAAACAAGTAGATACTGTTAATAGAAATATTTCTATCACGATCAGTCACTATTCCTCCATACATAATTCCTTTATTATGACTGATCCTTTCAACGATAAAACTATCAGTTGGTGGAAAACACTGTCCACTGACAAATGGAACAATCCATTGACCTAAAAATAACTATTCGTAACTGCAAGTTGAATTCATCTTTATTATGTAAGGTATAGTGCATATGAAAGTCTGTATAATGTCTCGTACTACAAATTGACTTAAAATATTTAGTTCCTTACAAACATTATAGAATGTCACTTACAACTAGACAGGTTGTAGATATTCTGTTCATTAGTTCTAAGACGATCAACCCGACTAGGTATCTTATGGTATTCAAACTGATGATGCCGTGTAGTAGTTGATTTAGGAGCCAGTCCACCAATAACCAGTAACTGTTGAGGTTCACCTTCACTTCCCATTGCTATCATACCACCATAGCCTCTCTTAGTCACAGAATTGTCACCAGTTGGTTGTAATTCTTTCCATTGAAGAGTTAAAGTGTCTAAACAGTTCAAACTGTTATGGTAGCAACTTTCATGGCCACAAAAACCACCAAAATAATAAATATTATTATTAATGGCAGCACAGGAGACTCCTCTGATTCCGAATGGAGGAGTACCATCAGTAGATTCAGAGGACCAAACACCAGATAATAAGTCAAACTTATCAATAACAGAAGCATAGTCTATCTTCGCACGAGAATCGTGTGACTTATCAAATTTTTCCCAGCTTCCTCCCCAGCAGTACAGGACTTCTCCTACTACTGCAGTTGTGTGTCGAGCTCTCCAATTGAATTTATACTGATCTGCAGAATAACAATAAAGCATTAAATGAAAGAGAGTGGCTTTAATTTCAAAGGACTGACCTTTTCCATCTACATTTCTGTCCATCTTTACGAGCTAGGAGCCAACGCCCTAAAATTATCACCTGATTCAGGCCCACCCAACATTTACTGCAAATGCAGCATAGCTCAACAATGGTAGCTATTATTCATACACAACCACTCCGTGACCTCCTGGTCAATTTCTTCCATGCAGTTGCTTCCTAATCTCCTGAATTCTCTTGTGAAGAGTGAAAGAGCTGAGCCAGAAGAGAAAAACATTACAGACATAGCTACTGAACAAAATTAATAGACAATGTTTTATTATTAAAGCAGATTTAAATTGCATAATGGTTTGGCATGCATGCATAGAGAATGTAATCATTAGCCAGTCAGGCAGAGGAGTAGTCTGAATCTGATGTTGCTGATACTTCTGTTGATCTTGGTATATCTTTGACTTTTCTTGAGTCACATTTATAAATTTAGACATATCATCTTCTTCTGAAATTTCACCCTAAAAATTACAAGCAAATTAAAAAATACATGGTATTATAATGTTTAACGTACTTCACTATCTATCAAATACATGTATATGTAATTCACCACATACTGTATTATTTCAGCTGTAGTGCTCTTAGCATCACTAGCAGTAGTAGCCAATAGTGATCCCAGGCAGTGCCACGTGGAGGCAGCACTACATTGCTACCCAAAATAAAATTAATAATAATAAAATAAATAATAACAAAATAATAAATAATAATAAAATAATAAATAATGATAATTAATTCACTATTTTGTATACATATTTATATATATATACATGTATATATATATATATAATGTAATTTGCATGTACATTGTACAATATGAGAAAGACACTATGCATGCATGTATGCAGTTTATATGGCAACGTTAAGTAATGTTAATGGTAAATTTGACTATAAAACTTACTATAAGATCAATTCTTTGATTAATCCTCTTTCGCAGTACCAGCTGGTCTGTGTTTCAAAAGCATGTCTCACTTGCCAGTCAATTTTATCATGCGATCGACAAAGAAATTTTCTCTACAAGTTCTTCCAATCACACTATAAGAGAAGAGAGAAGAATTGAGCAAATTTTCAAGAGCTGTAAATTTTGCCATTCTTTGATAATTTTTCAAAATTAAATTCAAATTATCATAGTACAAGATGGCAGGCAGTATAACGTCATGAATATTAGATCCACGAAATTGATTTTTAGGTAAATGGCAAAATTTACAGTGATAAAAAATATTGTGTTATATACAAAACACTCTTCCTTCCTCTGTCTCTTACCTCTTACCATCAACTGGCTGATGTTTAAGTCTCAAATGATACTCCAAAGATGAAAAATGAATCTACAAATAACAATAGGAACAATTATAGGAACAATTCACCTCAAAGTGGGTGACAATTTTAAAGTAGTTTTTTTCTCTCAAAAGCAGGCAACAATTTTAACCTAAAATTTGGTAGTGTTTGGTATTTGTAATTTTCGACAAAAATTGGCCAAATTCCCTGTACTATATAGCACAGAGACTTTGGCCAGATTTTAAAGGAATTTTAAAAATTTGAAATAAATCTAAATTTGATTGGAACCAGCTCAAACTTTCTATGCAACATAAGAACAAGTATAATGCATCACAAAAAATTATAAAAATGGAGAAATCTCTACTTTTCAATTTTAGCCCAGGACCATGTAGTAAAGTATAGAGACTTTGGCCTGATTTTAAAATTTGTAAAAAAATCCAAATTTGATCGGAGCTGGCTCAAACTTCCTACGCAACATAAATACATGTATGGGCATCAGAAAAAATTATAAAAATTGAGAATTTTCTCTTAGCCATTTTTGACAAAATTTGGCCCAAGTCACTGTACTATAGTACAGGGACTTCGGCCTAATTTTTGAGCAAATTAAAAAATTCCTAAAAAATCCAAATTTGATCGGAACTGGTTCAAACTTTCTATGCCACATAAGAACATGTATATGTATTAGTGTTGGACCAGTACTGACTTTTATAGTTAGTACTAGTATTAGTTCTATTACTATTAGGAAATTAGTTTTAGTACTAGTATTAGTTCTGTACTAATGGGTGATATTTTTTAGTACTAGTATTAGTTCTGTACTAACAGGTGATATTTTTAAGTACTAGTATTAGTTCTGTACTAATGGGTGATATGTTTTAGTACTAGTATTAGTTCTGTACTAACGGGTGATATTTTTTAGTACTAGTATTAGTTCTGTACTAACGGGTGATATTTTTTAGTACTAGTATTAGTTCTGTACTAATGGGTGATAAGTTCTAGTACTAGTATTAGTACTAGTATTAGTTCTGTACTAACGGGTGATATTTTTTAGTACTAGTATTAGTTCTGTACTAACGGGTGATATTTTTTAGTACTAGTATTAGTTCTGTACTAATGGGTGATAAGTTCTAGTACTAGTATTAGTACTAGTATTAGTTCTGTACTAACGGGTGATATTTTTTAGTACTAGTATTAGTTCTGTACTAATGGGTGATAAGTTCTAGTACTAGTATTAGTACTAGTATTAGTTCTGTACTAATGGGTGATAAGTTCTAGTACTAGTATTAGTACTAGTATTAGTTCTGTACTAACGGGTGATAAATTCTAGTACTAGTATTAGTACTAGTATTAGACAACTAGGCAAAGAGTTTATTTTCTTCTTTAAAATACTTGAAGAATAATTTCCAGACAGGACATCTTTTACTCACCACAGCTGCTGCAGTAGCCATGATTTTGTATGTTAGCTAGCTAGAACTAGAAGCATGTGTTTGTCCCATGTGCATAATGGTGATATAAATATAAGCTATATTACGCATGGTTCAATGGCTGCATGTATGTCATCAGATACACATGTAGAATATGCATAGTGCACATGCATGCATAATTACAGTATGCAGTTCTATGTAGTTAGGTTTAGTACATCATTACATGTAGTCAGGTTTAGTATAGTATTAGTTCTAGTACATTGCATGTAGTCAGGTTTAGTATAGTATTGGTTTTAGTATTTTACTATACTATGATAAAAATTACAGTACTAAATAACAATTTAGTTCTAGTACCAAAATACTGGTCCAACACTAATATGTATCAGGAAAAATTATAAAAATGGAGAAATCTCTACTTTTCAATTATGATAAAATTTGGCCCAGGACTGTGTACTAAAGTACAGAGACTTTGGCCTGATTTAATTTTTTTTTTTAATCCAAAATTGATCAAAAATGGCTCAAACTTCTATGCAACATAAGAACAGACATGTATACACATGACATGCACAATAATTCAATTAGTTATAATAATGTATATCCTCCTTAAATAACTCTACATTTACCCAACCCCAGTCATCCCAATGCTGATCCAGGGTATTAGACTCATTAGTTCCTTAGGCTCCATGTCCCCCCGGCCTAGTCTCCCTAGCCAGACCATTCCCCAGCTACCACCCAATGACTGTAGGCTGGTCTGGCTACCAGTGGCTAAAGAGACTTACCAGCCCTGGCCCCTTTAACTCCATTAGGTTCACCTCTACAATGAATCTTATTGGAGTATAAACTTTTGAATGAACATGCACTCATTATTTAATTATAGTTATAATAATGTATATCCTCCTTAA